ATTTTCCTGCTTCTAATATTGAACACCTGAGTAGAACCCTTTCTGATCATTCTCCTATTGTCTTGAACATTAACAAAATTTTGCAGCATGCTTCTTATCCTTTTAGATTTCAAAATATGTGGATGTTGCATAATGATTTCTCTAATTTACTTTCTTATAACTGGAATGCTCCTGTTCATCCTGATAACAACATTGCGGGCATGTTAAGATTATGGGCTAAGCTTTCTAGATTCAAACAATGTATGAAATGGTGGAATAAGAACATTTTCAAAAACATATTTTCGAATATTAAAGATGCTGAGTCTAAAGTTTCTAATTTTGATACTATTTACCAGCAAAATCCTAATTCTTAAAATCTGCTTTCCCTTAATCAAGCTAAAGACTCACTTTTTCAACTGCAACGTCAAGAAGAGTGTTTATGGAATCAACAGTCTAATGCTAAATTCATTTTGGAAGGTAATATGAACACTAAATTTTTTCATGCGTTATTCAACAAAAAGAAAACTAGAAGTCATATTCACAAAATTATTGATGTTGAGGGTAATGCTTTTATTTCTGATGACTCTATTTGCAAGTCTGGTGTTGATCACTTTAAGAATATTTTTAATAGTTCTTCTTCTTATCTGCCTATTAGCAATCCTCTCATTATTCCCAACATGATCAGTGTGTTGGATAATGAGATGCTGTGTCAAATCCCTAATGAAGATGAGGTCTTTAAGGTTATTAAAGATCTTAATAGCAATGCTGTTGCGGGCCCCGACGGTTACACTACTAAATTCTTTCAAGAGAATTGGCCCATTATCAATGATGATGTGATTAAAGCTGTGGAAGATTTTTTTGCGGGTAACCCCTACCCAAAATTTTTTTCTTCCACTTATAATGTTCTTATTCCTAAAAAAGATGGTCCCAATCATTGGAATGACTATAGGCCGATCAGTTTGTGTACTTTCCTCAATAAGCCTAACTCCAAAATTAATTCTAATAGATTGCTTAACATTCTGCCTAATATTATCTCTCTGAATCAGACTGGTTATGTTAAAGGTAGAAGCATTTTTGATAATGTCCTTTTAGCCCAAGAGATCACTCATGATATCAATGTCAAAGTAAAGGGTGCTAATGTTATTTTTAAGCTTGATGTTTCTAAAGCTTATGATAATCTCGATTGAAATTTTCTTTACAATGTTTTATCTTTATTTGGTTTTAATAATAATTTTATTTCTCTTATCAAGAATAGTATCGAGCATTGTTACTTCTCTGTGATCATTAATGGTAAGAATAATGGCTTTTTCAAGTCATCCAAAAGATTAAGACAAGGTTATACTATGTCTCCTGCACTCTTTATCATTGCTATGGAATATCTGTCTAGAGGTTTAAATGACTTATATTTGAGACACCCTAAATTAAATTTTTGTACCATTAGGGCTTTCCTATTTTTCACCTTAGCTTTGCTGATGATTTCATTTTATTCACTAATGGTTCTATTAACAATGTCACTTTATTGCTTAACTTTCTTATTAGCGTTTATAATCAAAGTGGTTTATCTATCAACAAAGAGAAAAGTTCCTTCATTGTGAGTAAATCGGTTAACCATAACAGAACTCAAGCTATTCAAAGAATTTGTGGTTTTCAGTCCAGAAATTTACCCATTACTTATTTGGGATCTCCCATTTACAAAGGTAAAAAAAGAAACTTTTTGTTTGATGATATCTTTACTAAGATTGAGAAGAAGTTAAACAATTGGTCTTCCAATTTCTTTTCTTATGGTGGTAGGCTTATTCTGATCAAATCTGTCTTAAATTCTATGCCTATTTATCTTTTTCATACTTTACTTCCTTCTAAGTCCATTTGTTCTAGATTAGATAGGATTTTTAACAAGTTTTTTTGGGGCTCTAAATACAATAGCAATGGCATTCGTTGGTCAAAATAGGAAAAAAGCTGTGGTGTGCTCATTGAAGGTGGTCTTGGTTGTAAATCTTTATACGATACTGCTAAAGCTTTCTCTTATAAGTTATGGTTTTCCTTTAGAACCAATTTCAGTTTATGGGAACATTTTATGAATATTAAGTACTGTAATAACATGCATCCTTCTTTATGCTTTTATAGAAACACTGATTCTTTGGTTTGGAAAAGACTTTGCAACATTAAATGGGAAGCTGACCAGTACATTAAATGGGGTTTAGGTAAAGGTGATATTTTTTTCTGGCAAGACAATTGGCTGGGGTATTCGTCTATCGACTCTTTACTTAACATTCGCTCTTTAAATAATATTAAAGTTTCTTCTTTTATTACCAATGATTGTTGGGACTCTACTAAACTTTTGGATATGGTTCCTCCTTTCATTGTTGAGAAAATTTTAGATGTTCCTTTACAACTGCAAGATAAAGACTTAATTTTATGCTCTCTTTCTCCCTATGGCAAATTTCTTCTGAAAGATGTTTGGGAAGCATTTAGAGTTAAGAAGGAGAGCTCTATTTTATATTCGGCCATTTGGCATAAAAACTTTCCTCTTTCTTACTCTATTTTAGTTTGGAGATGCATTAAAGGCTTTATTCCTGTTGATTTTATGCTTCAAATGAAAGGTATTCATCTTACTTCTAAATGTTTTTGCTGCTCGGATATTGAGACTATTGATCATCTTTTTGCTACCGGATTAATTGCCCAAAAAGTTTGGATGTTCTTTGATAACTTTGCCAATAAACCGATTCATACTCCTTATCAAAAGCTGTGTTTATGATTCTAATGGTCACATTTTCAATCTAATTCCCCTTCTTATTGTGTGGTATATTTGGAAAGCTCGCAATGAGGCTAAGCACAATGGTATTAAGATGGATGCAACTCTCATTATTTCTAATGTGCAGCAAAAAATTCTCCAACTGTATTCTTACAATCTTGTTTCTAGGAAGAACTTTAAAAATTGTTTGAATTTTGCGATGAATTTGGGTCTTACTTTTTCCGATATTAGTGTTAACTCTGCTGATAAAATTGTGAAGTGGATCAAACCCAAGCCTCCCTATGTCAAACTTAATACTGACGGATCTATTGGTCCTAATGGTGCTGGTGCTGGTAGTATTATTAGAGATTGTTCTGGTAATGTGTTAGCTGCTTACTCTGCCCCGATTGAAAGTATTTCTGCTATTGATGCTGAGCTCAAAGCTCTTTTGTATGGGCTCAACATATGTACTAATTTGGGCATAAGATTTGTCTGGATTGAGGTTGATGCTATGCTTCTAATTCAGATTATTAACAACATGGTACTTGGCAATCCGAACCATTTCTATCTTATTAGGAAGATTAAGATTTATCTTTCCAGCTTTACTTAAATTATTTCTCATATTTATCGTGAAGCTACTGTGTGTGCCGATTGGTTAGCTAAAAGAGGTTGCAATATTCTTAATTATGAAGAGTTAAATCCTAGATGTCTGCATCCTCATCTTCAAGGTATGATCTTCTTAGATAAAACTGATTTACCTTACATTAGGAATGGTTAGCTTCTTTGTCTATATGGTTGGTTGGATGGTTTCTATGATTTTCTTTAATTTGTGCTCTGTTCTGGGTCTGGTTGCTGTTACCTTTATTATCTCTTATATAGTTTCTTTCTCTGTTTATAATGTATCCCAATCGTTTGGCTGGCAGAGTTTATTTGTGGATGCTGCCATAGAGTTTCACTGTGCAAAGATCCATTCGGTTTCTATTTTTTATGCCATCCAGTTGAGATCTTTTCTTTCCTCCAGTCGTTGCTATTTCTGTTGTTGCTGGCAGAAGTTTGTTGTGGGTTATTCGTCCTGTTTGGTTAACACTTGGTCGTTTACTATTACTTGTTTGTACCTGGACAATTGCTGGAAGTTAAGTTTTTTTGGGAGTTCTTGCAACATTAGGTTCAATTTGGGGAAGATATTTTCGGTCTACTATCCCAAGTACTATCAATTTATCTACTTAAATTTCTTTTCCTCTAATTCTACTTTTTGGAGAGTGCCTTGCAGAATTTACTCCTTGTGGAAGGTTATAAGCATCATTGAGAGCAAGGTACTCCTTTTTTGGTATCTTTTATTGATTTTCTATTTCCTTCTTCATTTTTGTAGGAAGACGGTGCTGAACGTCTATCTGATGATCTTCCTTTTTTGGGTGCTGTCCGCTCACAGCCCGAGTAGTTTTTTATGCATTTCTTGTACTTTTAGGATAATGAACTACAGGCTCGTAGGTTTTATTTTCTTTTGTCTTGTAGCTCGTTCGAGCATTAGTGAGCTAGTGGATCCTTTTAAGGACTGTGTAACCGCAATTTTGAAATTAACACGTAGGCCCCAAAGCGGGTTTTAACCAATATATATATATATATAGTAAAAAAAATTTCTTTTTTAAATATATATGATTGGGACGAGCTTTTTACCTATAGAGTTCTTCTAACTTTAACTATATTTCTGATATGTTTTTTACACGAGGCTTTCAACAAAACCTTATATCTCAAACACAAAATGGTCGAACTAAAAGCCTTTTTCTATATATTTACATTTTCCTAATCATACAATGTTCTAGGCAGTTCTGATTCGGGTAATAAAGCTTTTTGCTTCTAATTTCATTTTCTATTAATTGAATCGTTTGATCCCAAAAAATTATATCAAACTATGTATCAGGCATTTTGCAAATTTTAATTGGCTCTGATACGGATAAAAATAAAATAAAATAAATTCTCTATACTGCACAAAGATATACAACGTTTAAAATAAATGTTATTGAACAAATTTGAACAAATGAAATATACTTATTATTATTATTATTTCATTTAAGGAGCTTCAAAATGAGAATCATTAGAATTATAAGTTCAAAATATTGTCCCGAAGCCCAACATTGCGTATTCATGTCCTCCTTTTTACCAATTCCCAAAATAAATTTGTCCTATCTAGGTAAGAGTTGTGTCCGTGGTATCCTTCGCATCAAATTTATTCTGGCTGTCGCCTGTTGCAACATGTCAAATATAAACAGATTTACATAACGCTCTCAATACGTTAAGGAATGATCCAACTGCTATTACGACTATCCACAAACTTTTCGAATTACCTCAAATAGAACAGAGTAAACGGAACCATTAGTTCAGAAAGAAACCAAAGCTATCAATTCTATTTTATGATGGCTAACTATAGTACTGCAGGATTTTAGATAGAGCATATATATATTAATCATGCATTATGTTTCTCCTGCACGATCCCGTCATTGCCTGCAAGCATCTGATACTTATCTTTTCTGGTAAGAGTAGTGCACTTAAAGCCCAAGCAGCGACCAATCTCTCTCTGAACACGGTTTGCCATTTCGCATGGGCTGTGTCTCTTCCCGTTATCCAAAACCACGGAAATCTCTTCAAGTAACTGGACAACATACTTCGGCCTGGGATTCATAAGGAAATAGAACGAGTCCAGCCACTTGAATCCGCAGGCCGTAGTGCCGTAGAACATAGTACCCTCTGCTGTCAGCGCAACCGGTGTGATCTCGTCAGCCAACTCTGCAAACAATGGGCTGAAACGAAGCAGATATGGCTCTCGACAGGTTGTTCCCTCGGGACAAATTACAAGATCTCCTTGTTCTAGGAGTTTTTTCATTTTCTCTCTGTCTTCCTCCTTATTTCTAGTAAGTCTTGCTGTTTTTATTGGTGAAAGAAATTCAGAAACTCGACTTAAGCTGTAAACGACTGCAGTCACTTGTTTGTTAAGGCATGCGGAGATGAAAAGGGGATCCAGGAGAGTGCGGTGGTTGCAGATGTAAAGCCGACCGCAACTGGGTTTTGGCTGGATCGCAACTTGCTCGTGTACTTTGGTTTGGGCAGCAGGTTTACTGTGCTGGTAAACTATTCCGGTGAGAGCGCCGATAAGAAAAGAGATGTAGTATGGAAAGAACATGCCGTTAATGTGGCGAAAGATTGAGAGGGTGGCACCGAAAGGAAGCCAAATGAACATTGCCAATGTCGCGGCTGGTGCTGGTAGGAATGCAATTCTTCCGTCGTGGAAGATGAGGGATTTTGGGAAGTTTTCTCGAGGGAGTTGGTGCCACATGCTCTTCTCTGACTCACTTATCCTGTGGACTTCCTGCATCGAATTGGATTTCCAAATTTGATGTTGCTTTTTGTAGCAATAGTCAGCGGCATATAACCGCTTGAATAACATGACTCTACATATTCATGTTTTTTTTTTATAGAAAAATTTGGAGTCTTAGCCAATATCATTAAGAAAAAAAAATATTACAGTAAAAATATCAAAATCAAATGTCAACACAACAAACGTGCATCAAATGAAGAAACTATATAAGCAAAAGTTGCTGAACAAAAATAGAATGCAAAAATAAAAATGGCAAAAACACCTAATTAACAAAATGACTCGGGATGCAAAGTATGTCGAGACCACCCATGCATCAAAATCATCTAAAAAGATGAACATAAAGCCCCTAGTTGTCGAAGCCGACCATCCAAGGGGAAGCAAAGCGAGTTTGCATTCATCATCGTCCTTCAAAAACAAATCTCTGGTTGTCAATAAAGACCATCCAAGGTGCCCAAAATTGCGAAGAGCAGCACAAAAAGATTCTCCAGCCATCAAAACTCATTAGGTACACAGCCAACCAAGATCAGAAAAGTATACTTTGGTAAATTTGAAAGTTTTTCCGCTTATAAGATTTATAAGAGATAGCCCTTCTAATATTGGCAACAATTATAGTGTGGCAATCAAAGGAGTTGCCAAATAATCTATCATTTCTCTCTCCAAATGTAATAAATTATAGCACACAATAAAAGATAGTAGAAAATTTTCTTATTTTTTATCAATGTCCCAACCCTCAATACTGTTAAATGCTTGCCAAAGGCTTGGCCGTAAAAGCATACTGCCCATATAAGGAATAATGTTCTTAAGAATGGCATAAGTATAGTTGCATTCAAATAGAAGGTGAGTCTGATTTTCCATAGCATTAAGGCAAAAAGCACATGAAGGAGAAGTAGGAATCCCCTCAAGATCAATGCTTTAGCAGTTGTCAGCCCATGCATGAAAGCCAACAAGGTGTAAATCAAGAAACATAAAGAATAATGCTTATGCCAATTAATAGTATTTGAATCAGAATAGCATTGCATTTTGAATGAGCTAAAACTAACCAAGGGTCCCAAATGAAGGACAGGGTGGTGTTGTCAATGATTCTAAAATTCAAACAGTGCTGGATGTTCTTAGCCACTCCACATAGGAAGTTCCGATAAATAGATCCACATATGATGCTAGTGTTCCAAAAAGAAAAATATTTTGCTTTCCACTAGAGAAAAAGTAAATTCTCAGCATTGAAATATCTCCAAATTATAGAGCAGCCAAAGGCATGGTAAAGGGAGTCTATGGTGAGGATATAAAGCTCCCAAAATTGTTTTGGTTTATAAGTTTCCTTCCACGAAATCATATGCAACTTTGTTTTGTGTATATCCATATAATACAAGAATTTGGATCATATTCTATTTACCATCTTGCAGCAAGCTTTGAGAATTATGGCACCTCTAATCCAATAAGCAAGGAAATTACATGTAGTAAATTTAACGAATTGCAGTCTCCAAGCTAAAGAGAGGGGGTTTTCTTTCCAACCATCAAAAGAATAGTGAATTTTCTACAACAAAGGCTGCAAATTAGAAGATTTGAGTCTCCTACTGAAGATGGGATTGCCATGGTATTTGATAGGAGAGTTAGATATAGGAATATTCAGATCGAGTGCTAGATATGGCATGTTCATCCAGTACATTTTTGGAAAAAACAATAGGCTTTTATCACTATTGACTTGCAAGCCCGAAAGAACAATAAAGCAAGCTAACAGATTCTTGAGAGTTTGAGCATTCTCCAAGGATGCCTTGCCAAACACTAGTAAATCATCAGCATAGAGGAGGTGGGATATAGAAAAATTATCGGTAGTGATTCCTTGAAAGGAGTTATTGGAAGTAGCTTCCTCAAAGCAAGTACAAAGGCTATCCATGATGATGCAAAAAAGGTAAGGAGAGAGAGGATAGCCTTGTCTGAGGCTAGAGGGGGAGTTGAAATAACCTTCCAGTGCTCCATTAATGGAAATGGAGAAGTTTATATCAATGATACATCATTTGATCAAAGAAACAAAAGTTGTGGAGAAACCTTTAGCAAGCAAACAAGTGAGCAAGAATTCCCTGGAAACTATATCAAATTCCTTGTGAATGTAAAATTTTGCACAAAAATACTTATGTCTAGCATTCATGTTTAAATCCTTAAGCAAATTAGCTGCTAATAGATGTTATCAGAGATTATTCTATGTTTGATGAAACTTGATTGACTAGGATGAATGATATAAAGGCATAACCTCCTTCATCCTATTGGCTAAGATCTTGGCAATAATCTTTTGGAAGGTGTTACAAAGAGATATCAGTATGTAGTCTGAAATATCATCTTCATGAGGGTGTTTAGAAATCAATGCAATAGCTTTAGCATTCAAATGTGTAGGCAAATATCTAGTTGTGAATAAAGAGAAAATTGCCTCACATTACTTCTTACAAATCATATTCCAAGTAGATTTATAAAATTCAAAAGTGTAGCCATCAAGACCAGTAGTAAAAGAATGAGTGATAGGAGCGATTAATTGAGGAATAAGGTGGGTAGGTAACATAAGGTCTACCAGTGCATCCTAACCATCAGAGGTTGGCACATATGGTGTATTAAAGAGCTATTTGAAAGGTTGAATGGTAGCATTGCTGATATTGGACCTCTATCATGGAGATGGACTTAATCAAGTTGAAATTATGCCTAGCTTTTATTCTGGAATAAAGAAATTTAAGGTTATCCTCCTCACAAGACAGCCACTTAGCTTTCGCTCTTTGGGAAATCTAATAAGACCAATCAGAATTCATCTTTGAAATTTTGAGGTTAATGGATTTTAATGCCATATTAAGCGCAGTATCCAAAGGAAAGTCCTAAATTTGCCTCAAGTAGAAATTTTGAGTGCTGACAAGATCAACAATTTCATGTTTGAGGGATTAGAGGAGGCATAAGGATTGGACTTGATGCAGAGTTTAAAAGTCTTGAGTTTTTGATAGAAAGAGTAGTTGGAGCTACTGTGAAATTGTTGAGAAAAAGTAGAGATGAGACAATCCCAAAAACCAAGTTTGGAAGCCCAATAATATTTATAAAAGAAATATGTGTTTCTGCTGGTGGTTTTGTTCATTTTATAGAATAATGGGAGAGTGGTCATAAATCTACAGGTTATCTACTTTATAGAAGGAGTTCAGGTAGTAGTCTAGCCAAGCATCATTAACCAATATTCTATAAAGATTAATATGAATAGAATTTTTAATTCTCTAATTATACAAAGTGAAATAATGAACAACAGATGAGAGCTCATGAGCTCCAATATTGAAGATCATTTTATTGAAATCTAAGAGCTTATTGCTGGTAAGAAAGGATCCACCTACTTTCTCATGAGGAAATCTACAACAATTGAAGTACCCTAAAATAATATAAGGGGTGGAAATGTTGGTAGCAAGATCTGAAATGTGTTTCCTGAGAGATTTTCTATCTTCTAAAGAATTTGAAGCATAAATAATAAAGATAGAGCACGCAACATTGAGCCAGAGTAAACAAAACCATGAATCATTTGGTTAATGGTAAATAAGTGCATAAAATTCATTTTAAGTTCATTCTATTTAATCCAAATCCTACCTAGGGAGGAGTAAGAAAAATTATCATAAGAACCTTCATTAAGAAAAATGGAGTGACTGGAGGGAAACTAGGGGCTGGTGGCTAAAGATGCAGAGATTATAGTTTCCAAAATAAACAATAAATCTAAGTTATAATTGCTAACTAACTGCTTGAAACACAGAGCTTTGTCCGGGCTATTAAACCCACATGTGTTCCACGTTGCCATTTGAGGAAGACAGATCATTGGGGCTTAGAAGATGGCGTGGATGCCTTTTTGGCATATTTTTCTCTCGTGATTTTATTACTAGGGATTAATTTGCAACTATAAATTGATGTATTTTTTGTATCCATGATTAGAGCAATCAAGAACATCCTTGTTTGATTTAAGTTGTTTCCCCAAACTTCCAATATAAGAAGTGGTTGGGATAGAGAGTTTGAATGATTGGTTTGTGTGTGATTCTTGTTGATCAGTAAGGATATCAAATTTGTATTTTGTAGGAACGGTGGAGAACTTATAGGTATTAGCTTCAGAAGGAGTGATGGTAGTGGGAGGTGAATCAGGTGATTAAGAGGGGTATCTTCTAAAAAGGAGTTAAGGTTAGGCATAATAGTTTGGATGGTGGGTTTGGATGAATGACCGAAGGTGTAGGAGGCTGTAGTATAGTAGTTGGGATAGAAATTGGGTTAGATGAAAGCGAAGGTTAGGAGACTAAAGGAAGAGGAGGCTTGGGAATGGTTTGTGTAGGAGGCACATTACACAGCTTATGACTATTACTTCTACCATCAGGCTTTGGTAGTTAAGTCTTTTGTGGATTGGGGTTTTGTGGGAAAAAGTTAGGAGAGTGCGTGATGGAAATGCAGTGAGGGCATGGTGAAAGTTTTTTTTTTATAGAGCACAGTAAGGGGAAATATTTTCCCATCCATAAAATAGTTAATTTCAGCTGGAAGAGGTGACGAGTTTCTCACCAAAACACACCCTCGCAAAGGTGAGTATTGTTTTGGAAGCCATAAGGGTATGAACAGCCAGCGGAATCCCGACGCAGTTCATAATTTTGGATATTCCCTCAGGGGTCCAGCAAGATAGCGAAAAGTTCTTGATCTTCTTCTAGAGAGGAATAGAAGGGAATTCTTTACGTTTTGAGATGAAATATGGCGTCTATTTCTGAAGGATGAAGGGCTTGCCGAAGAAGAACCATGGTCCACAAGACCATGCTATGTCATAATCCTCCATAATGGTGAATTTTAAGAGAAAAAATCATCATCAAGGGTGAGTAGAGAGAGAACCTTTAAGGGATCAAGTCTTTTTGATGGTGGAGAGAAGAGCTTTATAGTAGGGTCTGCGCCAAATGTATTATCTGACCAAGGAGAGTAACCATTTAGGAAAGCCAGTATTGAATTGTGCCTTGGTAAAATGGGTAGTGGCATTTTTTGTAGGGAAATGGGAAATATAAAAGGTGAACTTATTAGACACTAGGGATTGGGAAGCTAAGAGAAGCTTCCAGTCAAGGGTGTTTCTGCGGAGGAGGAAAACAGATTTGAAGAGGAAACCATGGGAGGAAAATGGGAGGAGGAAATCCTAGAGAAGATCCTCCCCGGGGGAAGAGATGGATGCAGCCAGAAGTTTGCGGGAAGAAACCCTAACAGAGCATTTTTGGCTGGAAAAAAAGTCACTTTGACATATAAATGTTTTTAATTTTGTATAACATTATATCATATGACAACCTCATATTAATAATTAATGTTTTCATCTTTTGAAATTTAAATTTACCCCTTTCATTTCTTACATTCAAGCTATTTTCTTTCAAATATTAAGGATTAAAAATTTCCCTAGTGGAATAAAGATTCAAAATAAAAAAATATTTCTCCTAAATTGTATTAAGGGTTCTTAACAAAAATTGGTGTTTCGAAAAGAAAGAAAGAGATTACAATGAGAAACATAATTTACATAGCCAGTTAAAATATTATGTACATATGTATGTGTGTATGTATTGACAATATTAGTGACTCAACACATGTCCAATAACCCACTGCATAGTATCATTGCCTATCACTTCACTGTCCAAGAGCATCTACTCTCTCTATCATGGGATCTGCACTATCTATTACCAACTACTGCATGATTTTTCCACTATTGGTTTTGTATTATCATTTGTATATATTCTTGCATATGACAGCTATATTATAATGAAGTATCCATAGTTGCTAACTTTATTATTGAAATCTTCTCTCCTACCTTCTATTTTAGTGTTATGCATTATGCTTATAATTTTTTATTGTGGTTTAACTATTTCAACATGGTATTAGATCAACAGTCTATTGACTCCATTGTAATCAAACATGTCGATGTTTCCATTCCATTTGATCTTAAATTTTTTATGTCTAACATATAAATTTTGTTCACAGTCAACTCCTTCCTAATAACTATCCCACTTGGAGGTCCCAACTCTTAAAACTATTTGCTGCAAATGATTTTGATGGCCACTTGAATGGAACCATTATGTGCCCAACAAAATATATTTTCAAAGACACATATCAAACATCTACCAATTGTGGGCTCTGAAAATTTAGCCCCGGCCTCCGCCAGCTTATCGCTTTTCTTTTCATTGGCGAGGGAGTTTTAATAGAATAAGTTTTGGGTTAAATTTTGGAAGGCAGATGGGTTTATAGATAAGATACTACATAGAGATTTTGCCCTCATTTTATGAGGACTTTATGATATGAGTTCTTGTTTCCTATAGGCACAAGCCCCTATAGTTAATTACCCCTCTCGATCATGAGAGAGAACTTTTGATTAAGGCTAGTTGTTAATCAGATACATAGTAAATACGTGTTATCTGACATATAGTAGCAACATTGGGCTTAAATATTTGGAAAGTTTGGATGTTTGGAAATTTGGGTAAAATTTGAGAATTTTGATATTTAAAGTAAAAATTTCACCATCTTACACTTAAAGTGGATGGTGGGGGAATGGATGATAGACCCAATCAAGATCCCATAGTTCCACATCCTGGGACATCATGGTCCATGGTATACTTAATCAGAGGAGGTAGTCGACCCAACCTGACAGAAGGATCCTTATCGACAACCATGGGGCGCTTAGTCCAAGGAGACCTTATAGACTTGGGGTGAGTATTTATCTAATGAAACAAATTTAAATTCACCTTAGCTAACAGAGGGCTTTGTGACCTATCAATCATATCCTATTGATTCAAATCTTATATATTTGATGCCAATAAGAAGCGTATTGGCTCTGGCCATAATCGGTATGTCATGGTGCCATTTGGCGGCAAAACTACTCAGTTAAGAGGGCCCTGGGTCATAACCGTTTATCCTACGGTGCCATTTGGTGAAAAACTGTCAATTAGAGGACACATACCACATCCTTACTGGTAAGAGATTATTTGAGAATAGATCCTAGTGATATTTTTGACTAGGCATTAGCTCTACGTGAGCTGAAGTATTTTAAAATTTTTCCACCTCGGTAAATAGTTGTGGAGGGTGGATGAATTTTGCTTTATGTTATTTAATAGTTGGATTTCAATTTTATATATTTTTGGGATTTTTGGATTTTGAGATTTTTTTTTGAATTCTTGTGGTATTTAGGTGGAATTTGAAATATTTGGAATTAATCCCTCTAGTTGAGATTTTTGTTCAACACGGCCATCATTGGGGTGACTTTCAAGTCACTTATATTTTCATAGAAATCTAAATTTTGTTGAAAATTTGGAGGCATTTTGGTTATTTAAATTGACCCCTCCATTTGAGACATGTGTTCAACACGACCATTATCGGGGTTTAGGGGATCATTTTCATTTATTGATTGAACCCTATCAACTATATCGAGCTGTTGATAGAGGATCAGGTTTTGTAGACTTTAGCATTTGTTAGAGAATTCTCATTTTTATAAGCCTTGAAGAACTAATATGAATGTATTAAGACAAATATATCGGTCGCCGCAACTGTATATTTATTTGATGGTTATAACCCTGTAGACTCCTATTGATCCATATAAGAGGATTAGGTTTGAACATCAATTCATTTATTGACTTGCGCAGCATCCCTAGACGTCAT